CTTTTATTATATAGTAGAATCAATAGTTTCAGGTCATCAGATCAATCAGGTCAGGTCAATCTTCATACCTGACCTGAATTTTTTTTAAAAATCTCATACCTGACCTGAATTTCAGGTCAGGTCAGATCAGGTTACCTGAATTTGGCTGACCTGTTCGGAGCTCTAATCCCTGATGTAAAACCAAAAAAGACATATTTCGATAGATGGCGAAGATATGTATATGAGATTAAGCCTGAAGATTTAATGAAATATCATTGGAATAACTCATGTTTCAAGACTAATAAACATATAGAAGCCTTTCTTCTCGCAAGATCGAAGTCAGAAATATTGTGTGAAAAAATCTTCTGACCAGAAGGGAATATTATATCCTGAAAAAATTACACCTGATTCCCTATTTCCTAGGCAAACAGGTGAAATATTTATCTCGTCTTTATATATAAAACAAAATAACTTAAACCATCTCAATCAGCCAAAAGGCACTATGCTTAAATTGGGAGATGGGACAAAAGTCACGATTGTTTAACTGGTTTAACTGAATGATTCCAAAAATTATCTTAATTATAGACTATTGCTTTCAACTGAAGATTAGTATCATTTAGCCAAAGGTACAATATTAGGCCAGTTCATAATTGTTCGATCAGCTTTTTTGGTCATGTTACACTAATATCATGATCAAAGTTCAATTTTGAATTGGTTTGATTGATACATAAGGCAACCAATAGTTATGGCTTTGTTTATTTTTGTCAGTATTTTTGTCTACTCGACAAAAACGACCTACATTTTTAGTAGTTCACGTTGAACGGTCAGTTGATCATTCTACAGTTAAATTTTATTGGTATGAATTTTTAGTGAACTGACCAAATATCCCGTTCAATCAATTATGAACTGGCCTATTCTTTATTTTTTGCGCTATATAATCTGTATATATGATCGCCTAGTATAATTGGCCGAAGGCGCTATGCATGAAATGCTTCATATACATGAAGAAAAACCTGATTTGCCTATTCCAGGATAGATCTTCCAATATATTTCATAACTATTTTAGTGAACTATCTATGAAGCGGTCTTGGGGATTCTTGATTGCGAAACAATATAACTATCAGTTTGAAAATTTCTATGCAACTGTTATCCAGCAAGCTTACAGGAATTACAAGAAAAGACCTGAATCTTTGGCAAAACGAATTTGGGAGGTGGTGAAAAATGATGGTACTCCTGATAGAAAGAAATTCTTAGGTATACTTACGATCTCTCAAATGAAAATAAATCCCGAGACTCAAGAAGAATATGCTTTGCGTCTTGATGAATTTGTTGACATGCTTAAAAAAGCAAATGCTTATCAATACTATATCGAAAATTATAATCTAGCCAAATGGGCCACAGCATATGAGGAATATATTAATTATTATCCTAGTCTTTGGATAGAAAAAAAGAAATCTCAGTTAAATAATCGACTAGATAAAGAAGCTTACAATCTTGTTAAGGAAATATTAGAACAAAAAGGTTACAGACAAGCTTATATTTCTCAATGGGGACTTAAAATTTTTTATTTTCCATGGAGATATATGATAGAATCGTTACAGGATCCTGAAAATTATCTTATTAAAAGAATCAATGGATATTTCGTCAAAATAAAATAATATATATCTCCCCACTACTAGAGTTGGATTTTTTTGACTAGGACACTTTAAGTTTCGCGAACTATAGTTGGTTAGCTCAACAAGCAATGTTCGGCCGATCCTTTTCTAACACTACCCGTCACAATGCATGTAAGCATGTGCAATGGCTTATTAAAATTAACAAAATAAAAATTATTATATGTAAAGGCATTAATTTAATTAATAATAAATTGTTACCTCATTATTCACATCAGGACCCAGAAATATATATGTAGGGTCAGGTGATGAAAAAAATTTTTTACTATGAGCTGTACGCATTTTTTCAGGGCCGGAATTATGATAATGTCAGTCAGGTACTATAATAGGAAATAAAATTCTGACTGGCATTATCAAAAATTATCTAAAAAAGGAAAGATTTTCTTGATTTTTTTAGTTCAAAATACGCAAACTCAAACCTGACCCCTTATATATATATTTTTGGGTCCTATCACATCTCGTATGTTACAATAAATATTTCCTCTACTTGGTTAACTTTCATATTTGTTTGTATTTATATCATAATTTAATGAACAATTCCTCTGTATTTATTTCTGAATATAAATTTTTTCCTATTTTTTTATATAGTCAAAATGATTGTATGTTATCCATTCTAAATGTATTTCCCGAATTGAATTTCCAATATTTATATTTCCACTGATTTTATTTGTAAAATAATTTTTTTCAACAAAGTTCTTTACATTCTATACTTTTAAAAACTATAATGTAATCTTTTGTATATGTATGGAGATATTCTGTATATACTAGAAGTTTTATTGTCATAGTCACTTTGATAATTTCCAACCTATTAAAATACAAAAGTTATTAGATTTATCATTTATAGAAAATTATATACTCCATCTAGAAATCCATTTATATCTTGCATATTGTACAGGTATTTTAAAGGAATTGCATTTTATTTGGATATACTATTCCGTATTTCTTTGTATCTTTATCATAATCTAATGGACCATATTTTCTTATAAAATTATATACCTCATCGATTATATCTTGTATATTGTGAAACAATTGCTTTATTTGAATTCCTTTCATATTTCTTTGTAACCTTATTATATTCCAAAGGACCATCTTTCCATTTTTCTAAATGTATTATAATTGAATTATTATTTATCCATTCCAATTACTACATCAGTCGGATGTCTGATATTTAGCGGCTTTTTTTGAATGAAACAATCAATAATTCCATTTCCACTGACTGGTCCAATTCTTAAAATTTTCTTTCAAGCAATTTATTTGACACATTATACACCATTTATACGTTTTATTTGCGTATATTACATTACAATTTTTGCAATGACATTCATAACTCAAAGCCATACTATAATATTTTGTATATGAATTGAGATATACCATATATTTTATTGTCACTACAAAAGTATTTCTGGCCTATTAAAATACAAAAAATAAATACATTATTACACATTAAAACATTATATTTTTAGAAAATATTTATAGCTCATTTAAGAATATTATGAAAACATTTTAAAATAATTGCTTCATTAGTATTTCTTTCACATTTCTTTGTAACTTTATTATATTCCCATTTGCTAAATATAATATAAAAGCCCATTTTTTCTTACTTCTTTAATATCAATAAACTGTTTGTATGATATCCATTCGAATTGCTTCTGTCGAATAAAACTATCAATTTCTTTTCATAAACTAAAAATTTGATTTATTTGACATAGTTCGCACCATTTACTAGATCGATTGCGTATATTTATATTTGTTTTACCACAGCTTTCACAAAATTTGCTAAAATAATTAATTTTATCATTATAAATATTTAATAGATTTCGGAAACTTTATGTATTTAAGTTACAAATAAAAAAAAGAACCTGCAAATTACCATTAATGAAGTTTAGATAACACGCTACTGGTAAATTGGCTAAATCTATTTGAAACTTGATAACATTACATTAATAAACGTGAAAAGTTTAACTTAGTCATTGCATAATTTCTCTATATTCAAATCCTTTATTAAGCAAAAAAAAAAATTATAATGTTGAAATTTAGAAGTGTAAGATATAAACTAGTTATTAATTGTGAAATTACCATAAACATTCTAGTAAATATTTTCCCTCCTGTGTTTTTTTTTAATTTGATTGACGAAAATCTCAATGATATTAGTATTTCTAAGTCATTCGATTTTACAAAAGAAGAGTTTTGACCATTGCCATCCCATATAGTACAATTACATAGTCACCTTGCTGTAATGGAAAATCTTGAGTAATATTTGCTGATTCAAGATAAATGACTAAATAAATAGCAAATTATTAATTTATTTATTAAAAAAAATTAAAAGAATACTTACGCGTCCTAAAGACTAGAACAGTAAGACATACTTATATAAAGAAAAAAAAAGAAATAACTAAGGCTTAATGGAATCATAACTTTTTTATTATTATTATTGTTGTTTTTAATAATTCCAAATTAATAATTAAGTTAAACATCCTTCCTGCTGAAAAATTCGGAGGGGAGGAACAGTTTAAAGAGCATGACGATTATAAGTTTCGGAAATTTTCGGTAAAATCGGAAATCTTTGGTACCATTCAATTTTGGAAAAAGAGGGTGCTACATAACAGTATTTGGACAAAAATGAGGGATAAAAAATTGTATTCTATTGCGTATAGGAGTATGGGCAAAAATGCAAAGATTTTCAATGCACAAATAAATCCTATGATTAAAAATTGAAATTTCTGAAATATAGGTTAACATTATTATTTGCCTTTTGTTATCCAGTGTAAATTTTAGTTATATACTATAAACTGCTAAATACATAAATGTAAGAAAGAAGAAATAAAAAAATAAACAAAATTTTATTAAAATCAAGTATATAATATAAACTTTAAGTTACTACATATATTTTATGACAAAAGGTTACTTATTAATTTATTTATTACTGACTAAAATAATTTTTCGCCTACAATTGCATGAATATGAGTTTTTTGAATTTTATAAACCATTTAGTAATATTATTGGTTAATCTTCGAAAGTATATAAAATCTTCAATAAAAAATTACAGCATAACTTAACGCAATAATTATTTCAGTTTTATATTGAATTTTTTTCTCAACTTTCAAAACCATTCTTATATTAAATTTGTAAGCTTTTTATATACAATTATTTACTTTTATAGTTTTTACAGGCTTTGGTCAAAATTTTTTTCTTGGCAAACTGTTCCCTCGGAGAATGATCTTCCCAGTAACACCATCAAAAAAAGCTCGGGCATGTGATTTTTGGGCATGTGATTTTGTTACATACGGCGCAGTTTGTGGCAACTGATCTATTTAAATATTTATTGCGTATTATTTAAGCTATTATTTAAGCTTTCTTTCGCGTCTACATTACCAAATACCAAGAATACAATTTTTTCAAAAAATAAAAAGTTGGCTTATTTTCTTTACAATAGCTATAAATCTTTTAATACAAAACTCGCAGAAAATATGAAACCTGTAGATATACCAAGTAAGCAATAATACTAGTTCAACAAACTAAATTGCAACTGTTATTTTGACAGCCAACTCTTCTAAAAGAGCAAAACTAGTCTGTATTATAGTAGTAAGGAAGTCATATAGTCCTATTAATAAATTAGATAAAGACGTTGAACATTATCAAATAAGTGAACCATGCCATTAACATGGAAGGGGCATACTGATAGCACTCATTATTTACAATAATTTATTTTAAATTAATGTATTTTAATAAATTGAAATTGAATAAATTTTATTGTTAAATTAATATTACATTCTATTTTAATAAAATAATTACTCAAATGTCATTAATTTAAAAGATTTTGTTTTACTCTTATGAATTAACATCTATAAAATTTCATTATATTCTCAAGCAATCATAGTATCTTAGGGTAAGGAAAGTTAGTTTAGGCCGAAATACTTATCCTTTGAAGATAACATTGACGTTGGAGTATCTTGGGGGAAAGTTGATTTAGGCGGAAATACATATCCTTGAAGATAACGTAGATGTTGAAGTTTCTTAGGGTTAGGGTAAGGAAAGTTGATTTAGGCAGAAATACTTATTTTTGAAGATAACGTAGACGTTGGAGTTTCTTAGGGTTAGGTAAGGAAAGTTGGTTTAGGCTGAAACTTTTACCTTTGGAGTTAGTTAGGGTTAAGTAGCAATAGCTGTGTAGTGCAATTTCAATAGCCACACTTAGCCACAGCAGTCAAATCACTTGAATCACGTGCCCGAGCTTTTTTTGATGATTACGTTGGGGGAGTTTCGGAGAATGATCGGAGTCATATGATCTCAAAAAAATGTCACAATTGATAAGTTGTTGACGTCAACAGGAAAACATCCCAGGAATTGATTCTTCACTATATTCACTTTGAGGAATTCTAATCAGATTGGTTAATGAAAAGGTTAGAAAACAAATTTCCAAATCCGTTAGTGACTGTAAAAGCCCAAAAAATTTATGATTTATTTAGTGAGTTAGGACCTAACAGAATCAAGCGAATTTGATTTTCATGGCATCAACACTAGTGAGTATGTCTGATATTTACGATAATAGATAATCATTGTACAGATTCCAATTATAATGCGATGTACACTCCCCTACAAAAAGTATCTGACCACCCTAAAAATTAAAAAATCATAAAAAATTCAGTGGGCCCAACAATAAATTTATATTTATTTTAAAAGTTCGAGACATGAGACACTTTTTAAATTTTTTTTTTTAGCTTAATTATTAGTAAAAATTTGCTTAAATTTTTAATTTTAAAAATGGCAAAATTCTTAACTTTTTAACTAGAGCAGTTACGGCCAAATGAATGCCAGAAATCAATTCTTTGACTAAAAAATAGCTTATGTTTAAAAAATCAGAAAGGTTGGACTGTAGTTGCCGAAAAATCCACCACTGAAGATCAGAATTTTTATATGTAAAAATGGTAAAATCACCATTTTTGCCAAATTTTAGTGATCTTCAGTGGTGGATTTTTCGACAACTACAGTCCAACCTTTCTGATTTTTTAAACATAAGCTATTTTTTAGTCAAAGAATTGATTTCTGGCATTCATTTTGCCGTAACTGCTCTAGTTAAGGGTAGGCTGAACGGCGATCATTTTCAATATAAATCATGTGGCAAAATTTTTTTGTGTAACCATAACAATAATAAATGAGATTCACATAATTTCTGCAGAAATTATAAACACGTTAACGTATCAATTATAATTTTTTATTTAACAAAATAGTGCCAAGTCTGCATATTAACACTTGCTTGTGCACCTGGTACTACTCCAATTACAACAATACTACTAGACAAGCCTCTGTTCTCAGATGGTTTACGCAAAATAATTTCTTCTTGAACTAGACCACGAACAACTAAATCAGTTAAGGCAAACTGAACTAATTCTTTAGTTTTCAATACCCTTCTTTCTTCAGTTGGATATACGTGCAATGTATCCCAATTTTTTTGCTTTATTTTTGCCGTTTTTCCACCCCTGAATACATCTATAATATCTTCTGGACTAATTTGCTCACCTGTCTCCTGTGTAAGATATTCTACTACTTCTAATAATTTCATGATTTCCTCCTTACCATCTAGTAGTTTTGGCTTATCAGTAATTCGTTTAACACAGTTGTTACACATTTCACATGTGGGTGGTTTTTGTTCGTCTGGCCAAGCTTGATATTTCCAAATTAACTGCTGACGGCATTCATATTGTGAATTACAATAGTAAAAGACCTCAAAAATCTTTTTTGTGGCATGTTTGAGTTTATTGATCAATCTTTGTTCTTCAATATTGATATTTGCGCTATTGGAATTTCAATAATAATTAGTCACGTATGTATATACATTTTTTTTATTCATAATAGAAACACATCTTTATTACTAACGTTTCTCTATGCTCTGCTATTATAGAATAATTTGTACGAATATCCTTTTTATTGTAAAAAATAAAATGTATTGCCGTATTTCCATCACGTCCTGCACGTCCTGCTTCCTGAATAAGATTAGCTATAAAAGTGCAATAATATTAGAATATTGTAAGAAATAAAAAGTAAAGTAAATTTATATACATACTCATACTCATTGGTGCTTCCACATGAATTACACCCGTACATTATTTGAATTTACTCCCATTCCAAATGCAGATGTTGCAATCATTATTTGTGTAGAGTTAGATTTCCAATTATTCATTGCTGTCTCTCTCTCATTATCACGTAAACCACCATGAAAGTAATCTATTGATATGTTATTCAAATTTTCTTGTAGTTTATTATATAAATATTCACAGCTAGAATGTGTTGCACAATACATTATTATGCGTCCATGTAAATTATCATTTATTATACTTATGATTTCAGTAATATACTGATCTCGTATTTCTTTTCTCTCCCGCACATTAAAAACTATTTCAGATCGATGACTTGTAGAACCACGGATTAATGCAAAACTATTATTTTCAATAGACAAATTTGTACAAATTTCATCTACTTCTAATCGTGTACATGTTGCTGTAAGTAACATAATTGGAGCTAATATCCAATTTTTTTTTAACATTCCAAGTCGTCCCCAAGCTTCTCTAAAATAATTAATCACATTACTAACTGAATTAATTTTCTTTTATACTAAAATATATTATTTACCTGAAATCCTGATATGCTAGAATGCAGTGTGCTTCATCAATCACAAATTGAACCTTTTTCTGCTCATAAATTCGTGTAATAAATTTACAAAATCCTTGGTTGGAGGCTAATTTTTCAGGTGTAACAAAAAGTATTTTTATCAATCCACACGCTATTTCTTCAAAAATCTTTTCTTGGATGCTTGCTCCTTGTACTAAATTGGCATATAAGGTAGCACATGGAATACCTGCATTTATGAGTTCTCGCTAAATGTAAAGAAAATTGTAAGTTATAAAATATAATATAATCTGAATTGACTAAATTTTACCTTTTGATCGTCCATAAGTGCTTTGAGAGGACTAAAAACAATAGTCAATCCTTTAAAACAAATAGCTGATATGGCGTAACATAAAGTTTTACCTCCACCTGTCTTCATGGATACAAATGTATCTTTACCATTTAAATAAGCAATTATTGCTTCCATCTGGCCTTCTCAAAAATTATCAAATCCAAAAGTGTTTTTTGCGGCAAGTGATATTAGTGTTTCCATTATAAGTGGCTCTGGTTGTTGTCCTTTAGGTATATATTTATCATTAACGATTCGTTCCCACAAACCTGCATCCACATAAAATGAACATATGCCACACAAGCCACGTGCACTTTTCTTAGCAAATGCATGACATGCGACACATTTCACTATTACGTCAAAATCTCTCAAAATGTTACCAAATGATGGCCAGAATGTATCTTTATGAATTTGATCAGGTGTTTTACTTTTATATGATACTAATTCCTATAATAAATATTTAAATAAGTATTTCGTAAGATAAATGAAAAATACTAAATAAAACATTACCTTATCAAAGTCAAAACTAGCAAGTTCTTTTCTGTCATTGGCAAATTTTTCTTTTCTCGCCTCATTTCACTGTTGCATTTCACTACGATTCCTAAGAACCTTCTGAGATCTTTCCTTTACAAATTTCAATATATTGCATATGTCAGAATGTGAAAATTCCTTTTCAGTAGCTGCTGTATGAACTTTAGAAATCATAACATCTAATCCTTCATTCTGATCAAGGACTGCTAGTGCATGTCGAGTACTATAAGATGCCCAATAGTCAATCCATTTATCCAAGTATTTAAGAATCTTTCTGTTAAATGTTTCATTGTGTGAAGTGCGAAGTGTAGTTACAATTCCTTGCCCAGATGGTACACGAAAAATTGTAGTGATAACACTTCGAAAATTCTCAATTTCAGTTTGGGTATAATTTTTTAGAGTTGGATCTTGTAATTGCAGCTCTGGATTATCCTTTATCCAACAAACATCACTCCAACATATACTATGATCATCAAGTAAATGCCGAATTAGACCTTCTACTTGTATATAACGTGTTTCTTCTTCAGTTGGCGCATTATCCTGATTAAGTTTTCTTTGTAATCCAGCACTAAATATACAAGAATTAAAATATCGCATAATGTGTTGTTCAAAAGAATGCCAACGTGAGTATTGCTTTTTCACTAATAAATGAAATAAAAAATTTTTATTATTTATAAATGTAATATTATAAGTAATTATAAATACATTAACTTACTTAGATTCTTTCGAATATTTTTGCTTATATGCTTCAGGTCAGCAAAGATACGACCTACTGCAGGTATGCATGCCAAAGTTCTATTTGTTTCTAGATCGCCGTCTACACATACATGTAAGGTAAAGTCAGTTTGTTCTAATATGGGCATTATATCATTGAGTAGTACAAGCAAAATTGCATGCTCCATTTGTCTTGACGTTCCACTAAAATTTCCATTATAAATTATTTTTGAAGAATCATTTTCAGATTTACGTATCACACGAGAATGTTCTACTGTATGAAATCCGATTACAGGTTGATAATTATACCCTGGTAAATATATTAAATAAATTAATAATTTATTTAGCATCAATAATAATATTTCTTATATACCAGGAAGGTCACCCAAATACAAGAACTCTCCACTAGCCTGGTGTGCATTACGGGCATGCGACCATGAACAGTCAAAGCCTACAGGTAGCACTTTTTCTTGACCTGGCAAATGAGCTGACTCCAAGTTATCTAAGATTTCACGTAAAATTATATCACTGCTAAATTTTGCACTATCGATAATAGGCTTACACATTCTAGCTTGATAGTTATAAAAAGATTTTTCACTACATTGGTTAGTTACTCCAATTGTAGCCAATGCTGTCTGAAAAGAATTTCTATTTATTCCCCCAGCAAGTGCTGCTTCCGCGACTAAATTAGAATACTTTACTCCTGAATCTTCATTTGAATATTGCGTTGATGCTTTGCAAAGATGACATGTAATAACACAAGATACACTAAACCCCGATACTCTGGTGTAAAATGTTCGATTTGACGCAATAATATCAAGACAATTAGGACAAGGTAGTGAAAGAAGCATAGAAAGATATTGCGAGGTACTCATAAAAATAACCGATCCCAATCTTTTTTCTTCTAATTCTTTCTCCACTGATTTTTGAATCTCTGCATCATTAAGTGCGATTATATCATCAGTTTCAATAGTATTTTCAGATTTATTATTTATTGTAGTAATTTTTTCTTTCAATTTTTTGATTGTTTTATTTTAGGAATAAATCATTTGTTTATGTTCTAAATCTTTTAACATCAGAACCTGTGTCTGTTTAGGGGACAATATTTTTCCATTAGGCTCAACACGAATTCCAAAACGAATATTTTGGCTATTATTATTATCATTTTCACGCAACAAGGTATCAATTTCCTCTTGTCCTCATTTTAAACTACGATGTAATGTTTCCTCTTTTTTTTTTGCATTATTTTGCAAATTTTCTGATAAGACAGCTGGTGATTCCATTTGAAAAATAGTAGGATATCGTAAAGGAAACTTTTCATAAACAAGTCTTTGAAGTTTATTGATTACTTGAGGATCATAAAGACCAAGAATTGATCGAATGGTAGTATTTGATTCAAGATTATATTTTTTTAACATACAATGAAATGCAAGTCGCTCAACACCATGAGCCTTTCTATTACTATAGGATACATCCAAACCAAACTCCTCCCAAAAGAAAAGTAATTGATTATTACTCTCTAGGATTGATAATTTGAACCGATTTTTACCAGCAGTAGTAAAAGCCACATATCCAGGTAATAATGGTATTAATGACCGTTCTTCTTCTTGGATACGAAAATAGATATAACCAGCATTATGATTTCTTTCTTCATTAGAAATATTTTTTGTAGTGAAATCAAATGCTTTTGCTTCATTGTGTAAATCCAGAACATGAAGTCCAGCAGAATAGTCAATAACCGTCCAGCTACCATTTGACCATTGTACAGCATGGCGATTATGAGGGTCTTGAGCAACAAGAGTTGTATACCAGGCATGAGAAGGCATAATATCTAATAAATAAAAGCATAAATATAAGAAAATGGACGTAAGTAATTATTAATATATTAGCTAAGATAGTAAATCAGAGATAATTATTTGTAAAGTGGATATAAGTCATGTATATATTAGCAAAAATAAAGTGTTTTTAAGCAGTTTATATATATCTGCATTTTTTTTATTAATATAATTTCTCTCATGCGAAAAAACTGAGCTCATGCGAGAGCTACAATGCCATTTTTTTAACTTTTTAACTATAAATAAGTTAAGTAATATGAACTTTACACACAATATTTTAAAACTATGAGTTCTTGAAAGGTAAACACGAAAAAAATTTTTATGACACGCTTGGTCTTCGAAGAGATTTGATTTTATCAAAAATCACGTTACTTTTTAGATGATGATTTTCTAATAGAAATGATCGCCGTACACCCTACCCTTAAAAAGTTAAGAATTTTGCCATTTTTAAAATTAAAAATTTCCGCCAATTTTTACTAATAATTAAGCTAAAAAAACCCTTTTAAAAAGTGTCTCATGTCTTGAACTTTTAAAATAGATATAAATTTATTATTGGGCCTCCCGAATTTTTTATGATTTTTTAATTTTTAGGGTGGTCGGATACTTTTTGTAGGGGAGTATAGATTTCTGTGTTTTTGTGAGGATCTGATGAAAAAGAGTTATTATTAAGGTGATTGTTTGTACAATTTGAAAGAGTTTTTTGTAATCCCACTATCTAGTTTCCATTGTTTGAAACTGTTATTGTGTGTCTTTCAAATAATGCTGTATGTCCATATGAAGATTGTATACAAAAGGTAGTAAGAGCGTTTGATGGTACGTTGTGAATTAATGTGTTTAAAAAATTCCAACCAGTTCTTCAGGAATGAAATTGAGGAGCATAATAACCAGAGGATGAATATTTGAAATTGAGTTCACTGTAAATTTATTAAATCGGTTAAAATTTAACTGGTTAACCAAATTAGCTGATTATCAGTTAATGACTAAATTTTAAAATTTTGGCCAGCTTCAGATTTATATTTATAATAAGTGTATTATAAAACTGAAATTACTCTATATTAATAAAATCTTTTTTTCGTATAAATTAATATATTGGAATATCGTATATTAAATCATATGTCGCTTTAAGACAAAAAAAAATAGAATGATCTAATATGATAAATCTGAATTAAAGTTATAAACAAATGATTCTTAAAGAATTTAAATTATTCGATTTAAATTAAAATGATTCCAGATCATTACTGTTTCTCACTCATAATTCTCTTATAGTACGATACTATATGACCAAAATCTTTTTTGTGAGTTATATTGATATCCTTTAATTATTTTACATAAAGAAAATATTATGGAAATTACAATCGATGATACATTTTGCTAATAATGAGTATGTATGACTATCAATAAAATATAAATGCTTGTGAAAAAAAAATTACAAACAGTTGCTTTTTCTCTTTCTTTCTTTTAAGATGACACAAAAAAGGAAGTTGATAAAGTCATTTACTACAAAATATGAGTATAAGGATTGGAATCGATTTCCATAATTAGAATCGATTTTAGAATCGACTAATCACGATTATTCGTTTCTCAAATTTCGATTCTAAAAATTCAATTTTGATTTCGATTAATCATTTCTAATTGATTGTGCATCATTAAATTTGTGACAGGAAAATTTCCAATGATCACAAAACATTTGATTGTTAAATTTTATGATTTTGCATTTAAAATAAACGTTTATTGCATGAGATCAGCGGTAACTCTGGCCAAGCTTATAATTCCGGCCAGAATTAAAACTTTAGTGTAACATAATTCAATTTGGCAGAATCGATTCCAATCTCTATATGAGTATTTGTTGAGATCTATAAATATAGCTTTTATTTAGGTTCCTGATGTAAAATTTGATCATGTATAACAAATGACTGCCTATTATTAAGAACATCCATTTTTAAGGTTGAATGAATTGTTTCTTCTTCAATGTTTTTTGTCACAAGTGCATTTAATTTAGCTGTAGTTTCTGTTGGAAAATTTCAATCAATTTCTTCATTTGCAATAGACCTGATGTTTTTAATGTAATCTACAGCTAGACTGATGAAGGTAGTGGGCATGTCCGTATTTATTTATTTATATTAAAATATTGAGATTTATATGTGAAACATTTTTGTAATTTTAAGATAAAAATCAAAAGTTAAAAGAGAGTCAATTTTATAATTTTTTATCTTCCTTTATCTATTTTTATGATTTAAATAATTGCTAAAAAAAGATTTTATTTTTGAAATTAATATAAATATATATATATATATCTGATATACTTGCTGTTACATCTGTCTCTTATACACATCTAGATGTGTATAAGAGACAGACCATACACTATATGAAAACAATATTAGAATAATAAAATAAAGTATTTAAAAAAAAAACAAATTTAAGCTTCTTTCAATATTCACCTTTAAAAATATCATTTTACCAAAAAAAAAAAATAGAAATAGAAACAATCTAATAATGAAAAAAAACATTTGGCTATAACTATACTACTAATAATTATGGCTCATACATATAGTAAAAATTATTATATTGTTGGTCATTCAGCAATAAAATGTAATTGAATAGGAATTATTTTATATTTATTTATTATATAGGAATTTGTGATTGTTTCAACAAACTCTTAAATTAATTCTAACCTAATGCTAAGTATTTATAAATGTTCGATCAGGACAATACAAAACAAAATATTATTATAATACTATATATATATATAAATACAGCAAATCGAAGAGCAACAAATCATAATGTCTGTATTAAAATTTAAATTACGTATAACGTTGTAACAACCGGGACACAGAAATATACTTACAGAAGCAAAGTATGCCAAAGAAATTTACTAAAAGGGCGTAAAAAAAAAATAATTTACCATATTTTATTAAAGAATATCTGATATGATAATATAATGTGTCGCAATAAAATCCATTTATTTACGATTTTGCACGTACGTCGATTTCAAAATTTTATCTTATGATTTAAGAATTTGCCAATGTTACATCAAGAAATTTTAAGAAAATTTTTTTATAACCACTTCACCCAAAGAAAGAGAAATTCTTATCTACATGTATGTAAATTTGTAAACTATAAAGAAAAAGCAGAAAACCAAAGAATTCCGCCCAGTAGCAATTAAAGTAATCTAACAAAAAAAAAAGTTTTGGTTACAGTTTGTGCAAAACTCAATTCACTTTAATTTTACACAAACATATTGATTATCCTACCCTTTTCGACCTTTACTAGCTTCTTTAATGGGAACCATATCTTTCCATTTTGATTTATCAACTCCCTCATTTGGTCTTCTGAATTCAGGAAGAGGAATATTGGTAGACCTTTTTGATCTTTCGACCAGATACTCGCTATATGTTTTTGTAACTGTTTCTTCAGGAAGTTGTTGCAACAATAACCACTCTTCAAGAGGGTCCATAATTTTCGTAAGCGCCTGTTTTGTGAGTTCCCAACCATCCGGAAACTGTGTATTTTTGAGATGTGATTTTATTTCCGGTAAATTTTCCAAATTGAATTCTTTGTAAAACGTAGAATTGCTTATATTTTTCAGTCCTAGCAAACTATTAAACTCTTCATATGTCAATCCAGGTTCTAAGATATTTTCTAGTTGGTTTGTTACTACTTTAAGGTTTTTGTATCGCTCAACATTTAGAGTATTTTTAATTCTAGTCCAATTTTCCATCTCTTTATTAACTTCTTTTATTTTTTCTGTAATAAAAACTTTAAAGCAACAAATTGTGTCTCTGTACATACTTAATATATCAATTTTTCTTAATTCTGCCGAAAGGTTTGCAACTTCCGCTGAAAGGTTTTCAATTTCCGTTGAAAGGTTTTTTTTTAATTCCGCTGAAAGGATTGCAACTTCTGCCGAAAGGATTGCAATTTTCACTCTGAAAGATTTGTAACTTCCTCCATTTTTATTTAAAATAAAAAAATTTAAAAAAACTAAAAGAATAAAAATTTTATCAAAATGGGCGTATTTATAATAAATAAATCATGCAATCATTGCATCAACTACATCATTTGTATCATTTGTGTCAAATAAATGAAGTAATAATGATCTTAAATTGATTATAATACCGCGATACTGCCGATACATCACATGAAAATATGTTGTTAACAATGTAATTATTTATTCTCATGACTCATGAATTAATTTTTATCACTCTTTACGCCGATGATCCAATTATGTCAATTTTTAGCGCAGTCATGTAACCATCCGACTGAGTTAACTGCCCCGAGTCCTGTGACGTTAATTACATGACCATTCATAAAATTTATAAAATTTGAAATTATAATTATATAATAATATTATTATATTTATTCACTACAGCATAATATTAATATCTCATTAAATTAATAAAAAAAATTCTTTTTTAATGAGTCATTATAAAGCGAATGGTTAGTGTATTCGCATTCTTTTAGGGTCGGAATTATGAACTGGAACCTACAAAAAAAGAAAGAAACGTTAGAAGTAACGTTCTAAAAAAAAAATACGTGTTTCTAACGTCTTAATTGCCCTCCAAAACTTAAAGTAGAATGAAAAGAAAAGGGCGAGAGAAGGGCGGGTAAGAGAAAGGGAAAGGAGAGAATGAAAGGGAAGGAAATATTATTGATTTTTAAGATGTACAATATATCGATTTGGCATCGATCATATAACACAAAAAATTCAATTTTTTTTTTGTATTACATTTGACGACAGATTTCCTCAGTCAGTTGACGAGAATCCTTGTCCTGGACACGGTACAGTTGCTTATCCTGGACCTCTAATTTGATTGGGCAAACATTGTTATATTTTATAGCACAATTTTTTTTTTTTGTTAGTAATACTGTTATAGCCAGTTCTTTAGCGTTTACAAACGTAAACAAATGGAAAATGGTAAGCAGAAGGTATTTAGGTAGGCGGGTATAATCAATAAATAAACTATATGTATAAACACTTAATAAACAATCCAATCAGACGTGTAGTATAGCACTGTACATCGGCATATACTCCCAACACGAATAAAGGATAACAAATTTATATTTCATTAAAATTCAAACAACAGTTTATTAATTAATATAATCATTAGAACCATTTTTATTAAGAAAACTCTTCTACTGAACTTTTTTTTCAACTACAGGTCTAATTACAGGTCTATATATACATAAAATTCCAAACTAAAAATGTTTAAAATGTTTAATATGTGCCATATATACCATATGTGCAATATATTTAATATATTTGATATATTAAACATTTCGAACATTGATCTTCCCGTTATGTGACGTTGATCATTCATCGGTAATATTAATCGTCCCGGTAATTACCATTGATCAACAGCTATATCACGTGATTTTGTCACATTTTTTTTTTATCGTAACAATACGTTTCTTTCTTATATTTATAGTAAGAATTCGCATATAAAATTTATACAGAAATACATAGAGTTAAAAATACTCTCTATAACTCCATATTTCTATGGAAGCGTTGACAAGAGCAACACAATTATCTATCTAAACTATTAAATTATATTAAACTATTCTATGTATTAACTAAATCAGAACGGTCAAATTTTCTTATACGGTCTATTAATTCTATAATGACACGTATCTCAAATTACTTAAATTATTTCATTACAATTTTTTTTGTTTTATCATATTATTATTTAATGAAGGTAAAGTAAAAGGAGGCGTACAAAAGTATTATTGCCACGTTTTTTCTATATTGTGCCATGTTATTTAAGAGTAGAGCCACTTTAAATTAATAATGTGAAAACGTGAGGGTTTGATGTCAATAATTATTTTGAACTGTAGTCATCTGTAAAATTGTAGTATTATTAACGAAAGAAAAGTAAATGAGGAGTACAAAAGTAATCTTTCCACGTAGAATTAGTATGAGATGAGTAACATCAAAAGTTTTAATGACGTCAGTTAATATGTTATACTAATATTGGAATTGATTAGATCAAGCATTACGTTATATACAGTATTTTATATATATATTAAATAGAACAATTTTAGATACATTTTATTATCAAATTTTATAAATGAGTCCAAAAAAAAAGACTTTTTTTTTTAATGGTGGTAAAAAGTACAACTCAAATTTTACTTTGAAATTAAAAAATTAATTAATATTTGATTTAAAATGTTTGTTAAAATTCATATTTATGGAATGCTACAAAATATTTTATTTAAGCGGCATCACGTTCATAATTATCTACCAGCTTTTATGGCTCTGCATTTGCGTCACTGCATCTGCATTAATGATGAGTTAAATTATTATTATAAAGAATTTGATAATTATTAAATATTAATATTAATAAAAAAGATGAATTTTTAAAAAATAATTTATTCACTCGCTAAAACAATAGTAAAGACGAAAATTATCAATAAATAATTTAGTTGCATAATTCCAAATTTTTTTGTTCGTGAATTTGTTATAAAAATATTTTTCTTTTTTTTTTAAAGCGTTTATATATATATGAAAATTTTTCTATGATGACAGTATTTTAATAATTATTTTTATTTTATCATATTCCCAGTAAATAGTTTTTGTATAAATTTGTACCAAATGGGCTCATCCATATATAATTGGCTCTGGCTTAAATTTGGATTATTTTTTGCATAAATTTGAGCTAATTTCGAGCCAATGAGCCCGTTTGGTATAAATTTATACAAAAACTATTTACTGGGATTATTTAATGAAGGTAAAGTAAATTAGGTGTACAAGAGTATTTTTGCCATTTTTTTTACATTGTTTCAAGCTAAAATTTACAACTAAAGAGCTGAATCACTATAAATTAACGATACACAGTCATTGTTAACGAAGGCGAAGTAAAAGAGGTGCACAAGATTAATCTTACGAGATGGAATTAATAACTTGAAATATCAAAGGATTGACATAAACAAAATGCGCCCAATTTGTGCAATTTGTGACCGATCTCTTGGAGTTTTTGGTTGGTTAGAATTGTTGGGACAAATGTTACATATATTATATCGATATTAGAATTGACTATATAATCATTCTATATATATTAACAATTTTAAAATAGATAATTATTAATACATTCTATTCAATTACCTAACTTGATTGTTTAACCGAAATTTTGCAGTGAATCCAAAAAAAGACAGCTTTTTAATAGTGACAAAAGTACAGCCAAAATTTTGACTTATATGTTACAAAATATTCTATTTGCATCTTTAAAATGTATTAAATATCACTAAGATGCATCACGCACATAATTATTTCCAAAAATCTTGCGGTTCTGCATCTGCATCACGTTTATATGAAAGTTGTGGTTCTGCATCCGCGTCACGTTTATATGCACCTTGTGGTTCTGCATCTGTATCACGTTTAAATAAACCTTGTGTTTCTGCATCTGCGTCACATTTATATGAACGTTGTGATTCAATTATTATTAAAAAAATTCGGTTTAATAGTAATTAATATTAATATTAATGAAAAAAGAAAAATTTTCTTTTAATGCAAAGAAATAATTCACTTACTCGCTAAAACAATAGTAAAAACGAAAATTAACAACAAATATCTTAATTGCATGATTCCAGATTTTTTGTTCGTGAATTTGTTATAAAAGTATTATTTTTTTTTTATTCTCAAAGAGTATTTATAATAGGAGAATTTATCTATAATGACACGCATTTAAAATTACTTTTTTTATTTTGTCATATTATTATTTGATGAAGGTGAAGTAAAAGAGGCAAAGCCAGGACCCGAGCAATATATAAATAGGTAACAAGAGATCTGCACTAATTTACGATTAGCTCCACGTCTTCAGGTGAATTACATAATGCCGCATGTCACTCAATTGTTGCTTTTTAGGGGTCCCGCAAAGCCACTTTAAATTAATAATATGAATCGAATCATAGTAATCCATAGAACTATAGTATTATTAATGAGCATGCGTATCTAAAAGATACACAACTTTAGATGAAAACATTTTAAATATATTTTAGTGCTAGGGTTACACAAAGTCGTGTATTTATGTTTGATGATGAAATCACGTGGAGTAATATTAATGTTACTGAGACTACTTTTTTATATAAAATATATACACTTTTTTAGATACGTATAATTTGAAAACTATATCTTAATTCTTAAGTATAGATTACACAATGTTGTATGTTTACAGATTTTTTCAAGTTGCAAATTTTCGGTATATATGTAATGAATCTACACTGAAAATTACACAATAAAAGCATCCGCATCACGTTTATATGATTCTACAACTGCGTCACGCTTATCTGCATATTGTGGTTCTGCATCTGCATTAATAATGAGATTATTAAAAAGAATTCATTTTAATAATATTAATAAAAAAGATGAATTTTTAAAAAAGTGATTTATTTACTCGCTAAAACGATAGTAAAGACGAAAATTAACAATAAATAATTTAATTGCATGATTCCAAATTTTTTTGTTCGTGAATTTGTTATATAAACACTTTGCGAAAAAAAAAGAAAAATATTTTTATAAGAAGATTTTTCTATAATGACAGTATTTTTCAAATTAATAACTATTTATATTATTTAACGAAGGTAAAGTAAAGGAAGCGTACTACAAGAGTATTATTGCCACGTTTTTTACATTGTGCCATGTTAAAATTTACTATTTTTATTAAAAATAGAATATTCTTAGAATTTCTTTCAAATTGTTTTATTTGTTTTATCACCTAAATAATATTAGCTCTCAAGTTTAATTTTAATTTCCATTAAAAGAAAAATCAATAATAACGATAAGCGATAAATGATGCTCAATTTATATAAATATGAAACTTGATCACTTCTTTTAATGTTGAATTTGATTCATTCATGCATGTAATATCGAAGCGATATCGTAAGGTCGTTAACGTGCGTACTATTATTATAGGTAAGTACAAAATCAGTTGATAACTGAT